TTTTTAAATTTACTGGGAACAAGCTTTTATTTGTGTAAAATTTATAATAATAATAGTTTATTTTCCAGAATATGGTAAAATGTATGAGTTAGGTACATTTATTTCACATATTCTACTGATTACAGTGTGCTTTTTTAAATTATGAAACAAGTTAATTCCTTTATTAATCATGTACTTTAAAATATTTATTGTACCAATAATTTATGAACTATTTCACAAATTATCTTTACAATTTTTAAAGAAATTATACCCAAATGTCAAAATATAATAGCTACCAGAAAATTTAATTTTTCATATCAAATATTTTATTTGCTAATTACTATTAAGCTTATCCAAATTTTCATTACAATGTCAAGCAAATTACAAATGCCAAATTGTATGTAAGTGAATTAAAGTTTATAGTACTCATTATGTCAAAACTTTATTTAATATTTTACTACTAATCTTATACAAATGTCAATATAAATGTCACTCAAAGTTATCAATAAGTAATATTTATTACGGCAAAGGAACGTCTGTGGTGTTAACTATAGAAATTGAAGACTTTCATAGAAACGCTACTAGCAAATACGATTTATAAACTCATAATAGTGTCGCTGAAACTGTGAATTTTGTTGATTTATATCAAACTCAAGGCTGTAAACATCAACCATGTAGTTAATTATAATTTCGTATAATTAATTGTTCTCTCCTGGAGTAAATTATAAACTTGTAATTATGTATAAATTAGAGAACCATGAATATATCATATACGTCGCAAATTATAATAACTTATAATTTATATGTTATTAAATTGAAATGAACGTGAAATTATTACTATAAAGGTATATTAAAGCTTACATCATATTTAATGGGCATTTATCGATATAAGAAAGTAAGGCCTTGAAGAGGCGATATTTCATAGAATTAATAAGCACTTGAGGTGATAAATCAGCCAAATGTGTTACCTCGCTATGGGCAGTCCAGTAGGCAATTTTGTAAAAGCTCAAGAGAATTGGCGATCACCTTAGAGGCAGAATAAAAAAAATACATAAAAGTAAGTGCCGCGATCTGCAAAAAAAAACACAAAAGTAAAGTATTTTATTTGCTATTTTCTATGCCGCCATTTGCTATTTTATAGGCAGTAAAAATTCAATTAATAAATAAAAGTATTACTATTGTGTATTTTTTTTTAAATTCGTGTTTCTTAGTCTGACATTCAATAATTTATATTTGACATGATTTAAATGATTGAATGTCAGACTAGGAAACACGTATTGATTGGAGGTAATATTTTCAATTTGTAACTAGTAAGTTGCTAGTGAAGTTCTACTAATAATGACGTAATATAAAATGCCCATTAAATATGATGTAACTTACCATAGGTGAAAGAATTTTTAAAATCGGTCCAATAGTTTCGGACTTTATTCAAAGAAAACATACAAACAAACAAATATTTCTTTTAAGTTATTAGATTTCTGTGTGAATTGTGACCTTTCGTACCGGTGCCACCTAGTTGGTGGAACAACTGAGCTCTGCATTAGATACTGAATGATTTATACCCTCAATACTTATACATACTGAAGTATCAACCGATAGAAAACTTGCACATTTTTCTTACAAGCTCTCAGTTTTATGATATGTAGATTTATAATCTTGAGTAAGGTTGTCTATGTTGTATGCATTAAGAGTACGTCATCATTAAAATGACATGCATGCATTTATTATGACGTCACGATGACGACGACGTATAAAAACAATTTTATGCAAGCCACCCATTTGCGAGTATACATATTTGATGCGAGTTAAAAGCTTACAGACGCACCTTAGTGAAATTGAAAGTGCACTAAATTTACAAAAAAAATATGCTTTTGAATTTATGGTCTGTAATAAAATAGGAAATAATTCAAAGTTTTCTCTGTATAAAAAGTTTTATTGGAAAAATATAATGAGGCTAAACTGAACAAGGTTGCAACTAGTTCCCATAGCGATCTTTCAATTTAATCATCAGACCCTATATTATCATGGATCAAACTTTTTTTGAAGACAAATCAATCTAAATAAGATTGGATTGCTTCGTTTATATAGAGGTCCTATGGCTACCTTCCGATTCCGTCAACAGATCAGCCTCAGTCCATATCAATTTTGTCACCTAAGTTATATGTATATGCAAAATTTCAGCACAATCGATAATCCTTAAGTGGGTCAAATTCCACGCTTAGCAAGACTTGACTCACATTAACAAGATAAAAGGTTGTAATACAGTTTAAATCTATTCAATACTTAGGTAAAGGAACGTATATTCAAAAGGAAATTTTCGTTTCATCTGTGGTACAAGAATATATTCAAATTATAAACAAAACAATGAGAAAGGAGTTTAAACGTATACTTCTTTAATATCAAAAAAGTTTATAAACATTTAAAAAGCTTGTTTTAACACAATTTAATATGTTTTCAGTGTACGATGCATCTGGTCAATACAACCCGAACATGTTGTTCGGCAACGAGTTCTGGCTGGGCTCCATGATGGAGTGCCGTGATCTGCAATTGCCGGAATACTACGAACAGACGCCACCATTTCCTGTTCACTTCTACGTAGTCAAGATAAATATCACCATCGATGCAGACCACATACCACAGGTATCAATTAACTCTTGTTATCGACAGTTAATGCGGGGACTGTATAGTTAATATAAAGATAATATGGGCAAAAACAATATATTTTTAAAAACACGTACAAACACAAAAGTCATAAAATTATAATATAAAAAAATATGAAAAGCTGGCAATGCTGTCGTCAACAACCCTAACCAACAGAACACCATATAACCTTATTAGATATACTTCAAATCATGCGTTTTGGCTCACGCTAAGTATATAAAGAGGATATGGACAAGAACAAGATATATTTTTAAAAACACGTACAAACACAAAAGTCATAAAATTATCATATTAAAATAATATGAAATGCTGGCAAAACTGTCGTCAACAACCCTAACTATCTATTTAGTTCTTCTAATCGTGCGTTTTGGCTCACGCTCAATAATTGCGCATTTAGTATTGAGGAGCTCGATGGTATAACGCGTTCAGTCTGCGATGTGGAAGTTAAGCAACTTTCGCAAAGACTGGGGGTCCAAATACTATCTCGAGCTCTTACGTGCATTCCGTGTGCGCTGCCATCTGCAGCCGTTACCATGCACTGTGCCCACGTGGTGGTTCATGACCCCAATCTCCATATTTGTTACCATCCATTGAAAACTTCTGTGCGGTGAATGACATGCTGGTGATGATTTGAGATTAGATAATTTGGTGTTCAAAATATTATAAAGTGAGATTTGTTGCTTCACATAGTTCATTTTTGATTCAAAGTGTTGATTCGGCAAATTCATACATCGTCGCTCTTTGTGACACTACAGTCATCCCTCAACCTCCTCAGAGCGCACGTTTTTTGTTTGTAGCTGTGTAAAAATATATACGTGTAACTTAAGAACAGAGAATTATATAATATATTCCACTTTCATTATTTTACATCACATAAATAATATAAATATTCAATGTTTCACCTTGTTACAGGTGTTGTTTACGTTAAAATAAAAATTATCAAGGAGTCTTAGCCCAGATAGCATGCTAACTTGGGGCAATTTTGATTTTCCTTTGATTCTAAATTGCTGCGTCAAATATATCAGACAAGTTTGTGACAATGTCGCTGCAATATTGTTATGTTAAATATGAAGTTTCAAGTTTGCGAGAATATTGTTTGAATATTGTTATGACAAAGATACTTATATGTAACACATCCATCATCTTCATAGGTGCACGAATAGTTCTAAGTCTGCAAACTAATGAAGTAATATTTGCCTCTAAGCCTGTATTCCAGGTACCCGATTACCTGCTAGGTATACTTGCACTACCTTTGATACGTCAGAGGTAGTGCAAGTTTGTCACACTGAAACTTGAAAGTTTGATTTAAACTTACTGCAAGTTGCTGCAATTGTCATGGCAAACTTGAAGCTTCAAAAATCTTCTTTTTTGACGCATCAAACTTGTTACAAGTCAGAAACAAGTTTAAATTGCTTTCTGGGAGCTGAAAGTCTTTTATGGTATTCTTGTATCTTATACTAACTTTTATGCTGATATTTTTTTTTAATAATAACTGCAAGAAACATATAGCGCTTCTTTTATTCGAGGATTATCAGGGATTTGTCAAATGATAGCATTGGATCATAACTTATAGGTTATCTTTTTAATTACAAAACCGTTCGCGCTTACTGTAATATCTCAGACTTCTCCATTTCCCCGATAAATGTGGTGCTGGAGCAATCATTCATTGGTCAATCCCTAGCAGTTAGTTATTTTTAAGCTGTACATCTATTTTTTTATATTGATAGTAGTAGTATACCCAAAATGTATCATAATACCAGTAATCATATAGAAACTCAAGATGTTCTCTCCTATTCTATTATAATAAAATATGTAAATAACAAACGAAAACAGGACAGATTCCTTGTCGGGTCATTGTAGAAGATAAATTTTACTATATTGTTTCGAATCTGTGTCTTTGGTACATTCGCTGTCTCAGGTACTTCATAATACTTTTTAACGGGCTTAGCTACTTATCTTGGAATCTGAGCAATGTGTATCACACACATTCTCTACTATTTATTTATTATTTATAGAAATTCAATCCAATAAAACCTATATGAGAAGGCAATAAGCGTTTTAATTTTTTAAAACAATAGCATAGCTATATAAATACAATACAGCAGAGTGGAACCAAGTATCATGAAGTTTGCGATATACTGAAAATAGCTTGTAAGAATATAGGCGCTGACTATATTCCATAAATAACAGGAGATTTATATTTGCCGCAGATTGATACGAGTAGATGTCTTCTTGAGTAGGCGGCTCCTAGATAATTAATGAATCTCCTATCTTTTCTTTAATATACTAGCTAAATCCGCGAACATTTTATCCCATTTATTAATGCGCTTATAATAAAAAATGTTTTAACCTCAAATACCATGCTCATCGCGCCAATTGTCATAACCCTACACACCGAATGTCATTCGATGTATAAGGTATTAAAATTTCTTATTTTTATCTCTAAAATAACTGTAGTAACTTGACTTAGAAATAAATCTAAATCGAAACATATGAAAATCGGTCATTTATGAGTTTTATTTAAATGGTATGGTAACATATTTTCGATTATACAAATATTATGGATACAATATACAGACGTGAGTGTATGTAAATATAATATAGTAACAAGCGCTTGCTAAAATGTTTTAGCGGCTGTTGTTCGCAATATGCGGGTTCGGCGGTGCTAGCATCGGAATGGACAGCGGGCATAGTATCACAATAAATCATATGGAAAAACACTTTTTTTATTAATGGCGGCAAAGAGGTAAAGTGAAATAAAACCTTTTTCGATATTCGTAATATATGTTAAAGTCAAGTGACTTTAATAAAGTTAAATGGAAAAACTAAAGCACCTTAAACAATTTTTTTGATACCATCAGAAGGTAAACTTTAAACATTGTCCGTCTTATAATAAAACGACGACTAAAGTTAGGACTTCGTTTTAACCACTAGACGCCTAAAGCAGATTAACAATGACAGAAGAGAGAATGTCAAATTGAGACGTATTACTTATATTTGTCGGATAATAGTTTAAACTTATATAAGACGGACTATGGCTGGAACGGCACATAACTTTTGCATAAAGAAATTCTTTTATAATCTCCACATGTTGAAGACATCAACTTTATGTCGATATTAACTTCGCCTGAAAGTTTAATCTGTGTCGCTGTCCAAAACACATACTCCGCTTGAGCTACTTTTAACGATACATTATGACGACATTGTTCTAAAATGGATGGAGTGCTCTTTTTTGAAAGAAATCATTACTTCAAGAGCATTTACCGCTTCAGAGGTTCTCATAAATTGGAAATCGCTGAAGGAGTTTTCTGGTTAATTGGGTTCTAAACTAATACTCTTAGCTTAGCGAAACTGTTGTAAACTTATGGAAAGTTGTTGGTTTTTATTATCAAGTAACGTTAAATGATTTTATTACCGATATTTGTGTGAGTGAACCTAAACTGAAAAGCTTCTTTAAACGTGTATTCTTAAAAAAAGTAAAATACGTGCCATTTTTTTTTAAATTGGTCTATTAAGTCTTTGGTGATATTTTATTGGTTATAGTTTTTCGAAAAACTATTTTATTTTCTCGTTTGATATTCTAGGTTCCTATCTTTTTTACAAAATTTTACTTATTTTAAATGATTGAAATTAATCAGATTTTTAAAAACTATGACTACTTCTTGAAATGTCAAACTGATATCGGAATAAAAAAAACGATTCATCAAATTCTAGCGTTAATTGCCAAAGATATCGCAGGACGTATAAATAAAAAAATACAATCAATCCTCTTTGAAATTGATTGAAAAATAACTGGCAGGAAATTTCAAACGACTGAGATCGACTATGCTAATATACTGTGTGCATTACGTTGATTGACTGTACTGTATTTGATGGTCGAAATTTTCCATTTTCATCCCGCTGGTTGTTCAAGAACGTTTTGGTTTTTTAATTGTATTATAGGGGTGTTAACTAAATTTTATTTCTCTGACCGTCGAGTAGATTATTAAAGATTAAACATGTATTTTTATTTTTTGCTTAATCAATAAATTACGGCGATACATTGAATTGAAATGTCGAGTGATGTCACACCTTTGTTTATTTTCAATGTAATTGTGATGTAACTAGCCTAACGAACTTTAATGCCTATAAATAATTTAAGAGACTTCTTGTTAAACTGAATTTAAAAAATACGTAAAACAGAAAAATATTGGATATTTTTCTGTAAATACGTATCTAATATTTTTCTGTTTAGTATTCAAAATAGAATTTATTTTTTTATCCAGTCGTCATCCCTATTTAGTAAATGATCAGTGAGGGATTTCGATAGATTTTCAATTAGACAGTTGTGATAGCGATAGATATATGTAATTATGTAATAACTTTTAAAGCCGCTATCGCTTTTGGACCTTATGTTGATGTGAATTATCAAAAAACATAATAAAAACCAAACTAAACCGTTTGGTAGATTCACGGTAGATTGCAGATACGAGTAGCTTTTCACGCTTGCCTTAGTTAGACAATTCCAATTAATGTTGAACTGACGATCAATATCTTTAAAAAATCTTCGGGATCGTAATCGCAAGTTGAACAGTTGTAGCGTGAAGTTCGTGAATATTTTTCAAATGTCAAATTGAAAAGGATTGCGACAGATTTTATGATAAAATTGGCCCTCTGAATCCTTGCAGCTGAGAAGACAGTTTTTGTGTTTTATTTTTACAAAAATTATAATAGAAATAAGAACTTCTTGAAAACCAAGATTGATTAAGAAAATCTATTCAACAGGGGCGTCAAGTCCTAGTGGGCGAGTGTTTACCTGCCTCGTGTGATGTCACCGCCGTGGAACGATTCGCATCGCAGGCTGAGTCGGCAGCGGCAGCTCGAGCAGCCGCTGCCGGACTCGCTGCCTCCCTGCACACAGTCAGCGTGCGTCCTGTACCTGGCGATTACAATCTATATGCTGATCGAAAATTCCACATAATCGGGTAAATGAATAATTCATTCCAATACATAATCTTATATATTTATGAAAACCGACAACCATAAGCTATTGAAATTTATATCTTAATCAAAGTGACAAAGGTTTTCCTTTATCAGTTTGAATATATATTATAAGGCGAATAGGACTATCCGTCCGTCCGTATGTTCATAATCATAGACATAGTCTATAGAGTATAGGAATAAATTTAATTATGCATTTACCAGAATTATTAGATTGGGGAAAGTCTTTTCGCATATAGTATGTATAAACTTGTAATAAAATCTTTCTGGCTATACCATTTGTATCTAGCTGGCTTCGGTACTTCGAATTCAAATTATGTTATTGTGTGATTTTCATTTGTTTTTCTTACTGTCAAAATGAGTGAATTAAATAGAGAAATTCGATGCATAGATAAAAATGCAACGTAAGCCGTAAATAAAATGTGACTTTTAGGAACCTAGTGCAGTTTATATGAGAGTAGCACAAATTTGGTTTAGCGTTTAGTCCGGAAATTTTGATATCAAATATGCACGTCGCTCCGGTCGCCCTGTTACGGATAAAAACGATGCCATTTTTGAAAAAGTGGAGCAAGAGCGGCATATCAGTAGTTACGACGTAACTGACGTAACTGGGGATTGACCACAAAACAGTTTTGACGCATTTGAAAAAAAGTTGGATATTTGGGTACCTCACGAGCTCACTGAAAGAAACCTAATGAACCATTTTGCCATTCTTTATTATGGCGTAATAAAACCGAACCGTTTTTGAAGAAGCTTATAACTAGTGATGAAAAGTGGATTACATACGACAAGAACGTGCGAAAAAGGTCGCTGTTAAAGGTCGGCCAGGCTTTACAAACTGTGGCGAAACCCAGGTTAACTCTTAATAGGTGATGCTGTGTGTATGGTGGGATTGGAAAGGCATTATTCATTATGAGCTGTGGCATTATCTGAGGCATTATCGATTCTGAACTCTACTACGAACTTGAGAGAAAGCGGCCAGAATTAATGAATAAAAGTGGTGTAATTTTTCATCATGATAACGCTAGACCTCACACATCTTTTGCCACTCAACGGGTGTTAATGCATCCGCCGTATAGTCCTTACCTTGCTTGACCCTTCAGATTTCCACCTGTTTCGGCCTCTTCAGAATTCTTTAGGCAGTGTTAGATTAACATCACGCAAGGACTACCAAAACATAACTTTTTTGATCAGAAGCGACAAAATTTCTATAGCAATGGGGCTGTGTCACTACCTACAATATGGCAAAAAGTTATCGAACAAAATGGTACCTACATACTTTAGTTAAATGTAGATGAGTTTTATTTAAAAAAAATCATATAAAATGCGAAGAAACTTTTCCCCAACTTATTAAAACTCAAGTGGTGTATGGTAATAAATGCATCGCTTGATGATGGTAAAGCGAAACAGCAATTTTATTGATAGCTTTGAAGGACTGGATCTAAAATATTGTCGAAAAGAAACATATATATAACATAAAAGTTTCACAGAAAACTGGAAGTGGGAAGTTATACCTGGGAGTAGTTAAATAGAAAATCCTAACAGAAAAAATATATGTATACCTTAACACGAGATAATATAAATATACGTTTTTCAACTTGGTGAGCTCCATGGTGAAGTGGTTAGATCGCTCAGTCTGCGACACGATTGTTAAATTTCCCAATGGTCGGTCACAGGATAACCAAAAATTTATTATTTCGAGCTCCTCTGTGCTTCGGAAGGTACGTTAAGCGGTACCCACCAATCGGCACTGAACCCGAGTGATGGGTCATGGCCCAGTCTCCCTATTCGATCTGATTTGATTCCATCCATATGGAAGACCTAAGCCCCAGCTGTTGGGACATTAGGAAGCTGGTGATAATGACATTTTCAACATTTTCGTGACCACAGAAGTTTCTCTTTGTTATACTAATTCTCTTTGTTATACAGCTTCGAACACCTCGTCGAACACAACACTTTCGGTCATAGATGTTCAACCAAATAAAACCTTTAATTAACGTTTGAAGTCGGTTTTAAATCCTTGAAAGTTGACTTTATAATATAGGTGGTCATAGGGTTGCCAGATCGACAAACCTTATAGTCGGACAGACTTCCTGTTTGGCCGGACATTTGGGAAAATGCCGAGCACCTTACATATCAAAATTATAACTTTCTGCTTTTATACCATAAAATTTCTTTAATTCTTATGAAATATAAATTAAATCGAATGCAATATCACCCTGACTACAGCCACAGTACGTCAGACTATACAAAACTATCAAATTTCCCCACTCGATTTTAAACTTGACATATTATGGTAATATGGCATGCATCCGTGTGTACTTTATTTCTAGTGACTTTCGAAATGATTCAACAAGCCCTGCACTGTTATTGGTCGGACACGCAATTAAAAACTTAATTTTATCCGGACGCCTGGCAACCCTCAATGGATAAGGGGTATTTGACTTAAAAAAATTCTTTTTACTTCATAGAAAAAGTTCACTATTTCATTTCGAAACTTATATATGATGCAATAGCTTAGTTTCAGTAGGAGTGAAAGATAAGGTCCGTCATAAAGGTTACCCTTATAATTGCACTATAACCGACCTATCTTTATCGGCAGGGTCGGTTAATTACAGAGGCGTGAGGCGCGAGATAGTAGTCTATGTATAGGAAACTTTATATCAAGAAAACGTAAGAAGACGTTCCATTTTCATACATAAGAGCAATTTCCACTGTGGTCGACGAACTTTATTATTTCATATTCAAACAAAAATTTATTACTGACACTCGAGAAATGTTAGAAGCAAACAAACCTGACGAGACGAATTTATTTGATATTTTTAACTTTATTCAGAATGTGGCGTTGAAATACTGTGCTATGAAACGAAACGTGCTTTACATTTACTTTGCGAAACTGGGAACTCTCGCTGAGAACACTGGCAAAATTAATCATCTGAAGATTAATTACTAGATTTTAGTATTCAACTTCGGTCGCGCGTATAATTAGCTTTATTTCAAACATGTACACGGCATAGATTCTTATTTTGATAACGACAATTAAGGTATCTGTAAGTAGTTAACAAATCTTTATTGGTATTTTATAACATAATTTTATAGATTATAATTTTATATATTGTAAAAATAATATAAAAGTAACGTAAGTTATTCTCAATAAAAAATACTTAAAAATACACTTTGTCCCTGGTACTCAGTGTACAAAGTAGCAAAGTAGATTTTTTAAGCATTTTTCAATAAGAATATTTTCCAGTATATCATTGTAAATGCAAAATTTATCAAATATAATAACGTAAGTTATCGTTTGTTATATAAATTAAAACATGAAAAACAAGGATTTGATCAAAAAATAACATGACACATTCAAATCAAGACAATCTTCTTTTATTTCTACTTTTATTGGTTGGCATGACAACGTAATAATTTTTTTAGCATCGTAAATATTTACTTATTGTAAACCAAAATATCCCGTTGTCTCTTTATATGAAAACCATGAACTCGAAAATTAAAAAGTAAATTCAAAATAGGTGTTACCAACCTTTTTTTTATGTCGAGAGGTCGCTAGCATCAATTGAATAGAGCGACACATTCCCCAATAGATCAATTTTGTTAAACCTCAATTCCGTTTAGGTTGAACAGTAATTTAATCTAAATTATAAAAAATAAACTTGGGTTTAGTTTATACGCTATTTTTTCGTATGACTGATGAAACGTCTATTTAAATATTTAGCTTAATCTTTACATATAAATATTAAAGTATTATTTATCTCATGCTTTCATTCGTTATCTCTCATTTATATCACTTGAAATTATTTATTTTAAAAATAGCTTACGGTTAGCCGGAGAGTTTTATGAGGTAATATTTTCCGTTTTCCACACTTTCTTTTGGTACTGTAAAGAAATGTGACTTAGTGAAGATTTACGCCAGAAGTTAGGGCGCGTCACTAACTTCTAAGTTGTTACTTTGTGTTACCGCAAAAGTGTAACAAATGGGGAAATTTACAACAATTTTGCATAGAAAAATGCTATTATTATACATAACACTTTCAAAGGATTGCATTATAATTAAAATAATGTTAGCGCATGAACATTTTTTTAATTACAATGGCCATATTAAAATTTGAAATAACAAACAAGTTTTTTAATTTTATAATCTTTATTGTCATTATAATGTTGAACTAATATTTACTATTGAAAACAACATTCATAATGGTATGTAATTAGCTAGTTTTGCAATTTATTCACTAAAATAAATGTACACAAATGTATTACATACAATTAGTAAGTACATACAAAATGTCAAATCACTGCCTTGAAAAGAAGTCATTGTCTTCTAAAGCGAAGATCAAATCAATTTAACGAAATATAATTTAACTTACGACATGTGTGCATATTCGTGAAGTCCTAAAAATGATTTTTAAAACAGTAATTCCATATCATGTTATTATTATTATCATGACTGTATAATATAAACCCATATAATGACATGAAATAACTAGGTCTACATCACGGGCTCTCCGCATTGCCATCGTACCTATGCAAAATTTGACGAACATTACGAGAATAACAGCGGTGCTCGTCGTAGGGTGATCGCCAATTCGAAATGTAATAGTAAGCTTGGATGTTTTAGTTTTAAAGGGTAGCATAACAAATGACTATTCTCGTTGAGAAATCCTAACGAACTGACCTTGGGATATGGGGAACTGACATTCAAAAATAAAATTCTGGCGTTCTTTTCAATAATTTAAAATTATACAAAAAGAATAATTGCTTTTTTTATCAAAAATTGATTTAAAGATCAAAGACATAAAAAAATCTAAATGTAAATAATCTATGAACAACAAGAACGGTGTCGATGGTACGACGCACTGTTGCAAAATAATAAATTAAATTCGTTCTAAATCTAACATGGCGGGTCACTCAAGATGACGGTAAAGTTATATTTATACCAGGTATTTTACACAAAGGCGTTACGCTATTATTTTACTTTAATTGATATATAAGATTACCACTTGCAAAAATGTTTCTCAAGTAATTTCATTCATAACATTCGTTTAAGAAAGAAAGGGCTTAAGATAAGCTGCTTCGCGAGAACGCACTGACATAGTGAAATAACACAAAATACATAAGAAATTTGGTAGACATTTTTTTAGACTTTTATCATTCATTGTATAAATAAGAATAATGATTACGTAATTGTTTTTTTTATAAATTAACATGCCGTATTAAATAATTTAAGTTTATAAATCGATGCTTTTTAATTGCATTCAGTCTAACTTTTTTATTTATGATTAAATAATAATATAAACTTAACAGGTTATAATCGAAATTATTCATAACAATTTCTTTCAATTAGAGCTGGCATTAAAATTTACGCAAGTCTCTAATTTCGTCTTTCTTTGATCACATTACAGAAACTCAATTTGAATTACAGTAATAGGTACATATGTTAAAATGAAACCCCTTTTATACGTGAATTTGTACCTACTCGTAACATTGTGTCATATAAGAAACAGGGAATTGATTACTTCATTTGTTTCAGTAAGCGATCTAGTGGGAAACAAAAACTTATGTACAACAACATAAGGCACAATGTTGTTAGCGCTTCTATACACTCATGATACGATTAAATTATTACAAGTTTTGAATACAAACGCAGAAACGTTTGAAGACTGTTATATGATCTACTTCGGATAATATATTTTAGAAAATTATGGGATACGTCTGCTTTGTACGCTGAAAACAAAGACTTTAAATAGTAATAGCAATCGATCGGAATTTATCTATTTATTTGGTACTAACTGTTCTTGTGAGACATCGTCCGCCTAAATTGTAGCATATATTACCCGCGTATGATGTAGCTTTTTTAAAATTAGCCCTGTAGTCACTAATATCTTCGATATAAACAAGCAATGTCATTTTTTCTCTTCATAATATAAGTATTGATTGGTATTGGTATAGTGGTATGGTTGCCGTGCGATGCTTTTGGCTATTTTATAACGACACAAGTGAGTAAAATCTATCCATTTCCAATCGAGTTTTCAAATATTTTTTTAAGTAAGTTGTTGTAATGTTTTAACTAATTTTACAGGAAAAAAGATCGACTACTACTTGGTTGCCTGTCACTGTCACTTTGACTTTGACGTTTGATAAGTTTCGCGCCAATATACTGCCGGGTTGCTATCTTGTAAAACTATTGGAATTGACATGGTAATTTTAAATATATCAATTGAATTATTATATTTGATCAATTTTGCATTCGCAATGCTATACTGAACAATATTCTTATTGAAAAATGCTTGAAAATTCTCGACTCGAGCCTATGACCTTTCGCAATCCGGGTGACTGCTCTAATCACTGAACTACCCAGGACCTAACAAGACTCAGTGGTTAGATCAATCGCCTGGATGGCGAAAAGAATAAAAAAATAAAAACGAAATATCGTGTTATTTACGAGTACGAGTTCCACCGTGGTACCAGTGCTGCGGAATCGGCTCGAAGGGTTGATGATGTATATAATGTAACAAAAGAAAACACAGTACACATTATTTAACCGGCACAATAATGAAGGGTTTTTAAATCGAATCATTACCTGTGATGAAAAGTGGATTCTCTACGATAATCGGAAGCGCTCATCGCAATGGTTAGACCATGGCATGCCAGCCAAATCCTGCCCCAAGCGCAAAAAAGTTACTTGTAAGCGTTTGGTGGACTAGTACCGGTGTCGTTCATAACAGTTTTCTCAAATCTGGCCAGACGATTATGGCAGATATCTGTTGTCAGCAATTGCAAACCATGCTGGAAAAACTACCTGTTAAACAACCGAAGCTGGTCAATCGCTCTACGCCACTGCTACTTCACGACAACGTTAGACCACACACTGCACAACAGACGGCTACCTACTTAGAAGAGCTTCAATTGGAATGTCTAATACATCCACCTTACTCCCCGGACCTTGCTCCAACAGATCACCATTATTTTCGAAATTTGAATAACTTCTTGCAAGGGAAAAAAATCAACTCCGATGGGGCAGTGCAAATAGCCTTCAAAGATTTTATTGATTCCCGTCCGAATGGTTTTTTTTAATAAGGTGGCCTATGAGATGGCAAAAGTTCATAGATAACAATGGTTTATACTTTGATTAAATAAATATATTATATTAAAAAATATTCGACTTTTGTTTCTACCATACCAAACACCAATTCATATGTAAGGACCTAACATTAGACAACATCACATACATTGCTCAGATTCCACGATTATAACATTAAGAAGTATCTGAGGCAACCAAGGTAACTAAATACCCGGAACCGAGACAATATAGAACAGTTAATTTTCTACATTGACCCGCCCGGGAATCGAATCCGGAACCTCAGAGATGGCGACACGGTTAAACCGGTGCACAAAATAAATAAGATAACTATTTGTCAATTTGTTTAAGCTGCTCGAGGATTTGTGACGCAACTTATTAACCATTTTTCATAAGTTAACAATGTACTGTCAATAGTCATATTTCGCAACCCTTTTTCCAACCAACCAACCCAACCCAACTTCTCTATACAGTTTTTCCTTTGGGAACCTCCGGCTTTTTCTCTTCACTTACACATTTTTTACAATTACACTTTAAAAGTTTCGATACGATATTATGTGTATGTGTGATTTAGAAATCAAAATTTATTACTTCTGCAAATGCAATTTGTCCAATGATTTACGTTTAACAAGGGAATATTTGAATATTTCTAATCAAAACGTGTTTACTCTACGATTCGGGCTATGTCGTTCAAAATAATCAGTTTTGTTTGCCTCATAAGAATGTAAATCATGAAATTATGTATCGATGTTTTGTATTTATATATATATATCTCAATTTCTATTTCAAAAAGCTAAAAGCAGAATCACACGAATATTTGTTTTTTTCACAAAATTAAAAATTTCAGAAAGTCGAAAAATTATTCTTAAAATCTTGCTTTTTAAAGCAAGGCACGTTATGCCGATAGTTGATGCTCGCTGTTATTAACACGGCCTGCCTATGTAGCGATTCGTAATGAGTCTGTGTGGCGGGTTATGGCCCATCCCTATTCAGGGAGTGCACTAATAGGGTCGTTTTTAGAGTGATGATGACCAATCTTTGTATTTGTTCAGGTCAGTGGTCTTGGCGGTGATCATCCTAATGATAGCAGCGTCATTATACGAAGGATATTTGGAGCGGAGGTTTCGGATAGAGAACGGGGCCGCGGACCTGGAGGTGGCTCACGATGACAACCATAAAAATGTATGTATTATTAACTGTAGAATTGTATTTTGAGATATACCCCGGGATAAGTAAAAAATGTGGAAAATGCAAATGAGTAAAATAAAATTAAAAATTTTATGAGGACTCCCAACTAGCAAATGTTGTCGTATAAAAGTCGGTAGCACGTTTTTATTTCAGCTGTTGGTGCAGTGAAGGATCTTTAATTTGTCGTATAAAAGATTTGGACGACACTTCTCTCAGCTATGAATGCTGAAAATATCATAAAATTAATAGCCAAAAGTCGAAAGGATATAGAGTAATTGTAATTTAAACTAGTACTATAATAGACATTAGCACATTAGCTTATTGCAAGTTGATTAAAACTCCTTTAAAAGATCTATTTATCGTAATATAGCAGTGGGCTTACAATCACTCGTGGTCGCAATCGTGTTTCTATAGGAAAGAAATTATAATTATTATTTTCAAGTAAATATTCATAATTTATATAACATTTTACAGCCACATGATAATAGGTATTTAGTGACGTATTACAGTAAGTATTAATAGGTCTTGATGTCATATGAGAAATTAAATTTTACGTGTAATATATGTACAGTTTGATTACTTTTTGCAGCAAGATTTTGTGGGAATTAATAAATCACAAATAATATAAATTTCATTACTAGTTTCTAATTTTCTTTCCTTCATGATTCGTTTGAAATTTTTTTTTATTGTTTAGTAAAACTAAAATACTTTGACAATCAATTTGAACTGATACCAAAGATGATTAATATCTGCAATAATACATAACTACACGGTAGACGTAGAAATGTATTATGATCTTTACTTGTAGGATAGGCACTTCAACAAGCTTGCCGTTGAAGTACCTATGCTCTTAAAAAGTTTCAAATGCTCTGCCACTCGTACCGACTTCCGTCCACTCGAAAAAGGTCCTTTAAGATCTAAAACGGTCTATGGTGAACTTTTTGAAACACTATTGTAGTAATGAATATTTTTTTTTTCTTAAAAGAATCTCAGTTGGAGCGCTCGACTTGAGCAGTATTTTTTAAACGTTAAGCCCTCAGTAGATCGGCTAAGCGTTTGGCTTAGAGGAGAGGATTACAACTTATAAAATCACTTAAAAGCGGCTTATTCATAAATCTGGTAGATGAGTTACAAATGATCACACTACGAGATTTTTACAATGTAATATACGAATAGACATTCATTAAAACTGCCATATTACATGCAACAATATATATATTAAAAAACTATTTGACTTCAAAATAAACAATAGTTATTATAATTTTGATCAATTTTGCAATACTATAATGAAAAATGCTTAAAAATCCACTTGGCATTGGCACTCTGAGATGGGACTCGAACCCTTGACCTTTCGCAATCCGGGCAACTGCTCTAACCACTGAGTTGTCTAGAACCTAACAGCATGCGTAGAATTACGAACTCGAGAACGCTTTGTCTACACTCAAATGTCACTTTTCTCGGGTACGCTCATACAACATCTCACTCTCATCCCGAGAAAGTGATATTTGGCTAGACAAAGCGTTTCTCGAGTTTTTCATGCTACACGTGCAGAACTGATGATTTTTCAAGTACTTGTTACTTTTTCACTACTACAGAGCGTATCTTAATCAATATCAGTTTATTTAAATTCAATATACTTAAGCAGGCAAAGAAATATTTTTTTTAAATTTAAACTTTCGATAAAGATGAAAATTAGTTCTAATTATTATATTTTTGATGAATTTTGATGAATGAAAAAATATCCTTAATGAAAAATGTTTAACAAATTCACTTTGTACCTGGCACTCTGAGACGGGACAAAGAGGATTTTTAAAACATTCTTCATTAAGAATATTTTACAGTATATCATTGTGAATGCAAATATAATAATAAACCATTAACTTTATATGTATGTGTGTTAAGTAGAAAACTATGGTACATCCGATCCAGTTTTATGACAACACATTGAATAATTTCTACATCCAATATCCAGATTATAGCGTCAGTGCGTCCAATAAAAAATAATAATTTCCGCCTCTATTAAAACCTATTTCACACGCTTTGAAAATGACATAACTGATAATAAAAGTAACAGAATAAAAGGTTATAACATATCATAAAGTTAAAGAAGTAACAATGATTAATAGACATTGTGCTAAGGTAATTTAAAACAATATATTTTGATGCTTGCAGCCTGCTAATGTGCACGTCGATGGGAAATTTAATGAGGACAAAGACAAAGAACTTCGCAGAGAGCCTTGCGGTAAGTGAAAATAAATGAATTGCATTAATTAATTGATAAAGTAAATAAGGTACGTATGCCTAATAAGGCCCACCGTTTTTGATAGATGTAGTAATAAAAGTCAAACCGACTGATGACTATTTGAAATAAGTATTAGCACTTAAGCGGTTAATAATATTTTCTGAATCATAAAGTAGCTTATACTTTACTCTTTTTTTATTATCGTTATTTTTTTATTGTTGTCTTTGGTTAATCAAAAAAATGTATATACTTTGTTATCCCAGATTCAATTAATTGTTGTTTAAGTTTTCTTTCAGTGAAAAATATCATGTTTCATTGCATTCAATTAGTCACATGCATCTGTAGATTTATTGTTATTATTTAATATCACCAATAATGTTTGTTAATAAAACCCGTCGAGGAGTCGTCTGAGCATTATCGTATGTCTTTGACTCCCCTCTAATATGCGAAAGCCTTATAACCTTACAACAATTTTGACAAATATTGGATGGTATTCTATTCATTTACAAGATATTAAGCAAGGTCAAGTAGTAATGTTGTGTTTAACTTTATGTGATCTTAATCTCCTTAAGATATTGGATATGGTGTCTTCGCTAATTAGATCAATGAAACTGACTACCATAAACAAATCGTAAATCAGATAATAATAAAGACATATGAAGTAAAATTATGAGCCATAAAAATTGACTGAGTACGGTAGGAGTCACATACAAAGCGTCCGTATTACAGCAGCATTATTAATATTGATCGTCCTCTTTGATAATATTCAAGAGAAGAATTATTTTATTTTTGTTTGTTTATTTATAAAGAAAAGTCAAAAACTATTGGAGTAATTTAATATTTTTGTTTTTCCAAAACGAAGCTGCATTGATAGGGAGTAACATAAGTTATGTTTCTGCTGTCTTATAAGGCCCACTATTTTTGACTAATGGAGTGCTAAAAGCCAATTAGTATTCATCTCAGTCACAGACCAGCATCGACGGATTAAGGAAAATAGAAGAATGTAATGAAAACTTATTTAAGTTAGGTTTTAGCACTACTACTTCAAAACGACTGGCTTTATTAGGCGACAGTGTGTTACATTTTAATTTTTTTCGTGATTAACGCCGTGGCTTTAGGTATTTAAACTACGGTACATTATGGTACATATAAATATAACATACTGAACAAAACAAAAAAATGTTGTCTAGATTGTTCCAACAAGGAAACGAAATTGGCCTCGGAGATAGCGACATTTTTTAAATCGGCGTGTAAGCCACTCTACCACAGAGGTGTTCGAATAATAAACAGGCATACGCTTTATTAACATTTGTTGGCATAGATTTTATAGTTATAAGAATTTATCAATACGATGCAAAAGACACAGCCCTGCGACAAACAGACGGAGACAGGCAGAGCGATCATTTGACAAATATTTCTTATGGTGCCCTAAAACGTCAATAGTCGTATTATGACGGGCGTCGTAACGCATAATGGACAGACACGCCCGGCGTCAACAATGATGATCGATAGTCCAATACCGTCATAATTCATAATTACGTCATAATCTTCTCACGCATTGTAAAACCGTGACGTGACGTGTTCTTTTTAACTTTCTTCATTTAAATAGAGCGAATTTTACTTCTATTATACTCTCGAAAGTCAACATGAAATATTATATAGTATTTCTGTTCCTGAAAAAACATACTTATGCTGGAATTAGAAAAACAAATACTGGAAAAAATTGTTATCATTGCACTAATTATTTTCCTACTGCTTAGTATCCTTAATAGAATATAATATTAACAAAAGCTTTTTTTTATTTCATTTTTAATTGTGTTTATAAAATTGTTTAATTTATATTGACTCTATAATTTATTTACCCTTATTTCAAAAGTATTATATAAACTGATGGTATTGACAAAATGCGATGAACGGCCTCCGTGTTCAATAGGTAGATCGTAAATTGCAATAGGTAGATGTAATTTTTTATCTACTCTATTAAACAGGTTCAGATAAGAGAGATAGAGAAACGTGTTTGTTTCGCTGCAGTGAAAACTATATTAAAATTGTATACTTACTAGATTTTTTTCCTGTATGTATACACAGTTATTTCTGTATTGGTTTACGATGATTTACGACCTATTACTACAATGTATTAAAGTTCAAAATCGATTGAGGAAATTCAAGATTAAGCACAAGCTGAGGCTGTTTACTGTAATTAACAATTGTTATTTAAAAATTAATTACCAATAAATATATCTCGTAAAAGGGCTGATGATGATGATGATAATATCTTGTAAATCTACTTCATGAATGAATGATTATTTATTGTGCATACACCACACTATCAAAATTTAGTTTACGTATATAAAATCTTTTAGTGGATAAGCGCCGCGGCCCACAATCGTTGTCGTTAAGCAACTTTCGCAAGGGTCGGTCACGGGATGGGTGACCAAAAAATTATTATCTCGAGCTACTCCGACTTCGGAAGGCACGTTAAGCCGTTGGTCCCGACTGCATTTGCAGTCGTTAATACTCTCCAATCCGTATTGGGCCAGCGTGGAGGGTCATGGCCCATCCTCCTTAACCATCCATAAGGAAGGCATGAGCCCCTGCAGTGGGGACGTAAAAAAAAGGGCTGATGATGATGATGATGATGGTCAACTTAATACGTGTCGATGTCGTACTTACTCTCTGACTACCCACCACGGGAAGAAGTGTGAAGAAATAAATACTTAGATATCACATAGTTGTAAATTACAAGATAAGTACACATTATGGAGTATTAGAACAGCGAAGGTATCACAATATTCAGACCCGAAACAATGTAGAAAAAAATACATTTTCTTTATGGACCTAACGTACAAACCACTGCCACAAAGATCGTAAATTTTATAGATAAATAGATATCAATCTCAAATATATAAATACATATCTCAAATACAAAGCTCTTATAGTATCTTAGGTTTATCGTTTTTCCTGCTTTCGATAAGCCCATTGATAAATTATGTAAAAACCGAACGACGAAATGGGATTGATTTTATCGCATTTCGTTTTCAGAAGAACCTTCTTTATCTTGATAAATATAAATTGAATATTATTTTTTTCCTACTTAACCTTTTATCTATAAAAATATATATTTTTTTATAAATCAGCCTTTGAATCTGAATAAAACCATTGATTATTAATATCTATAGAAATAAAATAAGTCGCTAAATTTGTTGCTAAGCGCAAAGCTTGGGAACAACTGGACCAGTCAAATTCATTTTCATATTTTATAGTACAAACATTCATAATAAGACAAATAATACCCAAGATTTACTACAAACAATGTTTTGGTAGTTACTTGTGATATAATTATACAATCATATTTTTTATAATACTCGTATTAATAATTTATTTAAAAAATATTCTTTGAAGTCCAAGGTAGGATCTTACGAATCTTACGGTAAATGTAGAAAAAAAATATATAATCTCTAAATAATAATCTTTCCCTATACACAAAGCGGTTCGAAGTTCGTGCGTCGGTTAGTAATAATAAATAATCATAAATAATAATAATAATATACGTTATTGCACTCAATATGATACAATGTTTACAGGAGCTTATTATTTAAAAACATTGAGTAAACAAATGGCGGCCTTATTGCTTAACAGTAATTTCTTCCAGGCAAATCTACTCACATATTAATTTAAAAAAAGAACAAATATTGATATTTGTTCTTTAATTTAAATTAATATGTGAGCATTACTATCCGATCCCCATTGGGCCAGCGTAGAGGGTCATGGCCCATCCTCCTTGACCATAAATAAGGAATGCCTGAGCCCATGCAGTGGAGACGTAAAAGGATAATGATAGCATTGTGCAAATAATATGATAAATTTTGCATTCACAATGCTATACTGAAAAATCCTTAAAAATTACTTTAGATACTTAGGTATACAACAATTGTGTACGTGCAATAACTGCAAAGTATACCGCATGCATTGCAATGAATAGTTTAGCAAGCAAGAATATTGCAGTTAGCTCTGTCTTGGAGCTGACCATAAGTTAATTTAACTTTGCTTGCGTTGTAAGTTCACGTATGAACTTTTCGGTCGCCGACAACCAATAAACTTAGCTTATGCACTTAAGCATATACCGATCATAAAGTTATAGTTTTGTGTATTTTATGAAGTTTATAATATGACAACCTTTGTGGTCGAGTGGTTCTGCCATCGAGCCGGTTGAAAGGTGTCGCCAGTTCTGAGGTCCCGGGCTCCAGGGGAGCGACCGTCTAACTCTCTAGCCATGAGTCTAGGCATATGATACGACATCTCAGGGATGTTGTGTTCGTTTCATTTACTAATTTATCATGTACATTGTTAACGACGAAAGAGTGATAAAGAAAGATGATAATAAATTTGACAGCAGCGTTACCAAATTAATTAAATTAAATTTATCCTCTAAACGACATCTCCAAGAAGTAAGATGAATCGAAATTTCGCCATAACATCGATAAGATGTCGTATCCTATGGCTAGAGAGTTAGATGAACGCTCTGCCTCTCGGATAAATGTAACGGGTAAATGAAAAATAACTTATCAATACAATATGTCTCGAGTTTAGGTGTTGAGATAACTTCGTTGTATCAGATTCACATAATACAATTGCTTTGGCTAGTGAATTTGGGATCAGAGCAATTTCTGCCGATTTCTGTTCAAAGCAATTTTTTTTTATATCACAGTTATATGTTATATAACCAGAGTATTATTAGCTTTGTAATTATGGTGAGCCATAGTTAAATAAACCTCAAATTATTTCAATCAAAATCTGTCTGTAACAAATAGCGCCTCTACAAGATGCAAATTCACAATTAATCTTTTACGTTGACTCAATCTTGATTGAAAAACTAAATACTGTCTACCAACTAGTTTTATTTATGTTAACATATATATTATAATACTATACTAGTTATAAAAGAAATTACAAGAAGGAAATCTGCTTCTTATTCAAGTCCTTATTATAGTCTGTGTAATCAGAGCCAACTGCTTTGTTCGAGGAGACGACCGTCCAGAGGATGGTAAATTAGCCTACGTCTGTTCGCTAATAATAGAAAGAGATTTCAGAGTTAATTTAATTACGTTCTTTAAACTATTCATTATGAAATAATATTTTTTAAGTAAAAAAAAATATATATGAATTAGAAAATATTAAATTACAGTAAAGTTTCATTTTCTTTATTTTATATATAGATATATATAAATTTATAGAGTATTATGCGACAATAAGATATTTATTTGCCTTTAAATAGGGTACAAATTGATAGCAATTAATTAAAATAAAGCAAGCAAACATATTATGTTATTGAAAACTAACTTTCTGCTTGCATGTATTAAAAGGTTAAGTTCAAAATAAGGTTATGAAATTCATAAATTTTGTCTATCTGTATATGAACATTGTACTAACAATAAACATTAAATATTTGTAATGGTAGAATCAATTTTAGGAGACGTGGCGTGGGCTAGTTATAATTCTGACTTTAAATATGTAATTATTATATTTTTTTTAACTATTTTCTAACGACCAATAACAAAAGTATTTCATTGTATTTATGTTTACTTTATCAGGTATGTGGGCAGAGTTACTACTAGCATTTTCGATTCTAACCAACGGCCGGACAATTCTCAGCACTCAGAAGCCTAGCGACGGTGCCTTGACCTGTTTACACGGAATAAGGTAAATAGCAACACAATGCCTCCACACCAAACAAGAAGAGAATGTTCGAACACTTTTCAAATGAGTTATAAACACAAAACTAAAACAGACTAACATAGAATACCTTGATTTTCTTTCTTTTGAGTCATCTGAGACTTATGGCGACATGACGCAATGAGTAACTTAAAGATATACGTTTAACATTCGCGTCTTTCAAGTATTTTTTCAGCTATATTACATCTAACAACAGCAGCGTGATTATCCTATTTTTTGAGCGTGATTAGTTAATATTATATATGTGAAAGTATTTTTGTTTGGATGTTTGTCCATCAATCACGCCGGATTGACGGACAAACATCCACACATCTACAGAACGGATTTTGATAAAATTTAGTATACAGATAGGGTATTAGCTGACTTAGATAATAGGATACTTTTTATCTCACTAAACATTTCCCTAGGGTCCACGCGGGCGAAGACGCTGGTGAAAGCTAGTTTGTAATGAAACTGAAAATGATATGGTGTTCAAATTTACAATACTTCTAGGTTTTATGGAATGGTTTATATTTCGTAAAACATTTGAAATATTCTTAATAAATCCGATGTGTCTAAAATAAGCTAACAATAATTTTCACACTATCTTACTATATCTAAAATATTTCACGAATTTTAAATTAATCATCTTTGATATGATAAAAGTAATCATAGCTAACTATATTAATTTATTATTATTAATTTACTATATTAAATTACTCTATTAATTTACTATATTATTACCTAATATTCTCAACAAAACTTTAGAACAAATGATCTCTTTAGTTTTTATTATTAATTAACCTGCTCTATTACTTATAGATTTCTGTCAGTTCTTTGGGTAATAATGGTCCATACGTACATGACCGTATTCCACATTGGAGACAACAAGACTATGAGGGTAGTGACGGAGAGAAATTTCTTTTACCAGTCGGTTGGCAACGCTTCCTACTGTGTCGATACTTTCTTCTTCATTGGGTTTGTACTTTGTAATTTTCCTTTTATGATTTAGACTTTAACTGGGATACTTAGTACTCTCCTTTTATTGTCTTTGCTCTTGCCCTATTTTGGAAGTTACCACGAGAAATGGATTCTCAAATAAACAAATAATATTATTACTGTTGTTATTTGCAGGGGATTACTCGTCACTGTGCTATTTCTCCGATCCGAAGACCGTAAGACCAAAAAAATTGAACAACCAGATAAACCAGACATAAACAAGAACGTAAACGGCTACACAAACTCTGCTCTCTCAATATCTGTGATCAGCCAGCAATCCTTCAAGGAAGATTTATTGGACAAACCTAAGTCTACAATGTACTCAAAGATGGAGCTATTCAGAATGATCAAGTCGTTCTTCGTTCTGTTTTTCTATCGCGTTATTAGACTGACTCCAGCTTACGCCTTCGTCATTGGTATCACTGAGGTATCCTTCAGATATATCTACAACCAGGCTGTATTTGATCCCGCCGTTCCTGATCACATCATCTGCGATCTATTTTGGTGGAGAAATCTCTTATATATCAACAACCTGTACACCCAGAGGGAGATGTGCATGGTATGGTCTTGGTATATGGCCAACGACACGCAATTTTATGTCGTCGGCATTATACTTTTATTGATTTCTGTGAAGTGAGTAATTTAGTTATGTAAAGTATTCGATCTATTTCCTATTTAACTGATTTTAAAAAGTTATGGCCACTATTTCGAGTAGTAATAATGACGTTTCAATAAAGTTTCTATTGATTCAGCATTATTAAATTGCTGTTCAACAATATTGCGAGTATAGATACTAGCATCTTCAAATAATATGAAGTTCTTTCGAATGGTAGCACTAGCAATGATCCAAAGAACTGGTGTGTTTTCATTTGATATAACGTTTCGGCAAATTCTCTACGTTTTAAACTTATTTCTCAGAGCAAGAGTCTTTATCTGAAAATATAAAAAAAATCGCTAAATATCATCATGAATTAAAAATTTATTGAATGATTGATTGTAAAAAGAATTACCTTTTGACCTACATAGATCACACACACGAATACATCTACCCACTATACTCGTATCTATACTAATATCACAAAGAAATATTTGATTGCGTTTGCTTATTAGAAATGATTAGATTCCGAAACTCCTGGATCGATTTAAAAAAAGAATTCACCTACCGTGATAATTATCGCGGGAAAATTACTACTATTTCTTGTTTCCATTAAACATATTAATGGATGGCTGTCCTTTTTAATTTATTTCCTTATTCCGTAACTAGGCTATTTTGGAAAAAAAATGTGTCTGTTACATTACTACATTAATAAATAACAGTGTGTGATTACGTTCTTGTATTATTCGCATGCGTATTCGGTAAATTTGTATTCATTGTATGAATGATCTTTCAATGATTTCTTCATATTACAAGTTATAGTTTTAACTGTTTTTATTCCGTTTGTAGGAACTTTAAGCTGGCAACTGTATCATTATTCGTGATAATGGTGAGCTCTTGGGGGACAACGATATATATATCCGTGTGGCATCAATATAAAGCAAAAATACAAGAACCTTTCGAAATGTTTGATCCATTGTATGACAAGCCCTGGTCGAGAATTGGACCTTATTTGATTGGTAAGTTCTTATATTTATAAGTAAAGATTGTTTACATAATAACGGCAAAGTATAGTTCACATTTATATATTATAGAAAAAGTTCTCAGTGAGCTTTCAGTGTTTAAAACCTCTAGATATCTTATAAAAGATTTCTTCTATTTTTATTACCAATAAAACGCACAAGATTTATGTGATATCAGTACCTATTTGGAACAAAATCACGTAAAGATTTAAGTCTATGATAGAGATCCCGAGCATAACACTTAAGTGTCTATGGTTTTATCAGCGTTCCAAGCTATCGGTTGAAAAAGCTTTAGTAAACGTCTATTGTCGTCCCTTTCTTTAGGTCAGCGTTATAAAGGCAGTCCACAAAAACTGAACCGGCAGCCGAATTATTCGATAACTCAACTGTCGTCGTTCAGCTTGAATATATTTTTAGATTTAGAAGCTTTATCTGTGACCTCGATTAATTTCAGGATATTTTGCGTTGCCGACATGGCTGTCAATCTTCACGATTGACATAATTACAATTCGAATGTTCAAACTGCCGATTAACACCGAGTCGGAAGTTTTCTAATTTATGATCCACTTGTAATGGAGTTATGGAATGAATTATGCGACTAAGTTGCATAGAATTTATTACTATTATTGTAGCCTCTATCTCTAAAATCTTTGTTTGAAAATGAAATAATAATGATAGATGCTTATAAGTAATTTTATATTTAGTAAGATAATATCGATCTAGTTTTTTTTTATAGTTTATTTTCGTTTGTTTCCTCATATACATATGAAACCTGGTTTAGAATGCAATAATACGATGCTCCAACTCTTTGAAATGCATTAACTCTCAATAAGCCCTGATATCACATGTACATGTTAGCACTGTAAATCCTGAATAATGGTACTGAACTTTCAAAGAGCTGTTGTAAAGATTGTCTTTTCTTTTGTTGCTATATACCAGCAGCTTCGTACGTAATTGGTTCTTCAGAATAATCTGCGTGTATTATTATGCATAGTTTAAAAGAAATTGTTTTATGAAACTATATTAATATGCGTTAATTATATGTATATAAAAATATGAATCTTTAACGCTTCAAGTAACTTAATCTTCCTTCTCTCTAAAGAGAGCCTATAGCATTAAATCAGAAGCAAGTATGACAATAATTATATTAAAAAATACGAGTATATTAAATATAAAGTACTATTTTACCATTACAGAGCTCCTTTATAATAAATTACAAAATGAATATCTTGCATAATAATATAAATAATTTACTTAATAAACTGATTGGTTTAAACTTATACAGTTAAGTTCAATAATTTCTCCATATCAAAGTTAAAATTTTCTTAATTCAATTTTTTTTTAATATTAGACAATTTTAGATATTCTCATACCCCGTAAAGAACTTTGATTAGAGAAACAACATCTGAATTGATTGACTTATTTTGTCTCTTTTACTACAAAAGGTATACAATATGCCTTTTGTGATAAAATTACCACAATCCGTTTCAATGACCCTTTTATTTTCTGCCACACGTTTAGATAAAACTTTTTATAGCTAACCTTCAAATATATGCAAAAGTTTTCGAATAAGTTACCGTGTATAACAGTTACACAGATACAAAAAAAACAGATCTGGTGTTATTTAAAATTCAGCGACAAAAGATGTATTTATTCCTTTTTGAAGTAGGTTTTATATTATTTAACCTATAACGAGACGGGTATGCTCGTAGCTTGGCTGAAATAACCACATTTATGTTGTTTAATCTTTCACGGTCATTAAAATCGGAATGAATGCTAAAAACTATGTGCTATTTTACTAGCTTTCCACCAGCGGCTTTGCCCGCGTGGTCTTGTATTATACATAAAAACTTTCCTTTTGAATCACCCTATCTTAGAAAAAAAATCGCAGTCAAAATCCGTTGCGTTGTTTTAAAGATTTAAGTATACATAGAGATATAGGAACAGAGGAAGCGACTTTGTTTTAAACTATGTAGTGATGATGAGTTTCCGCTATTTAGGCCAAATATATCGATCTATCTTCTTTTGAGTTATTTTACGTTCAAACTTAAAAGATCTCGAAAGCAAATAGAACGATATATCTGCAAATAACACCCACCCGCATAAACTTCAGATACTCCGTGATAAAGGCGCTTGCAACAGCCCCGATATATCGGAAACTCATAAAATATAAGGTACATGGTAAAAATCCCGTTTTAGCAATCATTCTGGTAACCAGATTTATATCAATCATGCTATTACAAAAATAAGACGTATCACAATAATAATAAAAACAATTACCATTGTCTGTAGGGCATAGCATAAGTACAGAAGGTTAATTCCATACGCAGCAGTCCTTTAAATAATAACTTTATAATAGCCTTTACTTATAAGTATGTTCTTAACTGTCATAGTTAAATTTATTCACGGGTAGGTCAATTATATTTAATGGAATTTATTGAACATAACAATGCATCAATCCAGAGATCCTCTGTTTATTTGAAGTCTGAATCTCGGGAAATCGATAATCGTAACATATAATTATATTTTAACAACTCAAAATGCTCAGTAGTTTCATACACCCTATCGCATAAACCTCGCCAGTTTCAGTATCAGATAGAAGGAGTAGCTATACAACGCGTAACTGAAGTGAGAGATCTTGGAGTTTATTTTACAGCTTACCTAACTTTCAAAGATCATGTAATAAAAATTTGCAAAAAAGCTTATCGTATTTGGGATTTGTACTGCGTCAATCGCATGGGTTTACAAATTTAAATGCAGTAAGGATGTTGTATGAAGCACTAGTAAAAAGTCATCTAGAATGCAATGCATCCGTTTGGAGTCCATATGAAGAAAAGTAGAAATTAATGCTAGAACGGATACAGAACAAATTCGTGAGATTTCTATATTTCAAGCTTTATGGAGTGTTCCCGTTTTACCCCTTAATGTATCCAACGTTATTTGTGTTTGGCATGGTTGGATATAATAAGTTAGAGGTTAGAAGGCAGTTGAGTTTGGCTACGTACATATTTAGAATATTACGTGGTCGAATTTTTAACCATATAGTCTTAGAGTCAGTAGGGTTGTGCGTTTCAAACCAATATGTGTGGCGGCGTCGACAGCCGCCTCTGTTCGCATTACCATATGCACGCACAAACATATTAAGAGAGGCACATATACAACGAACGTTACGTTGTCTAAACGAGGCTGCAAAGTCTATAGATTTATTTTGTTGTCCATTGAACGAATTCGTACCGGCAGTATTATATGTCTTATGTTATAAGTGAAAGTCTATGTCTACGCTATCGCATTAGGGAAACCTGTAATGATAGTAGTATGTTGCAAATAAATAAAAAATTTGCATTCAGGCACTGGCCAATTAAAACACCAAACACAATCGACTTCGTTCGATACGTGCTGATTGTATTTTCCCACGCTTACATATTGGCTTGTGTATGTCATGGTTACATCATATAATTGTATAATGAGATTTTATTTAAATATTATCTGTGACATAATGTTCCTTTTGTTTATGAATAAATTATTATCAATTAATGGTAGAGTTTAGTGTATTCTTGTAGAGGTAAGCAGCTTTGTGCATTTTTCAATAACTATATAGGTACTATATTAGAAAATTAACTGTCTGAAAAGTGTATTAGGTATTTCTTTATATATATTATTTATTTATTTAAATTACTTGCACAAATAAAGTGTACAAATGGCGGACTTAATGCCAGTAGGCATTCTCTACCAGTCAAAGTATATGTATGTGTGTTTGTATGTAATGTGTGTCATTTGCCATATTTCACAAAGTGAGATGTGTGTGGGACTGAATACCGAGTGAATTCAAAATCGTTATTTAAAATTAAATATGTTGTTATTTCAGTTACTTTTACCTCATATTATTGTAATATACGCTAGTTTATGCATTTGCAACTCAAATTGTTTCTGTCGAAATTGAGATAAATTTATAAATAAATAAATAAGTAGATAAATATTTGATTAAACACATACACTGCTCAGAGGCTAAGTAGTTAAACTTGTATTATGGAAATCTAAAACAATAATATAACAACATCAAGACCATGACGATATAAATGTGCCTTTTTTACATAAACCCAACCAGAAATCGAACTTGGGACTTATCTCTAGCTGGACAACGGCGTGCGAGCCACTAGGTGAAGGAGGACAATTTGAAAAAAATAACAATATCTTCGGACTTCGTTGAGATTTTTTTTATGCTACTTATCCTAAAATCTTAAATGAATTTACCTTTATTTTTTCACTGTTTTATTTTTCTAAAAGAGACCCTTAGGCTTTTCCCGGCGACAAAAAACTGTTTGTTAAATAATTACGTTGCCAAGATTAAGATTTGATGTTGGCTTTAGTTGAAGATTGTTTTCATTTAAAATCTAAAACGGACATAAAAATCATTCGGATATCTTCAAAGTTATTTTTAAGAATTATCACTACATAGAATAAAACAAAGTCGCTTTCTCTGTATCCCTATGTATGCTTAAATCTTTAAAACTACGCAACGGATTTTGATGCGGTTTTTTTTCATAGATATGGTGATTCAAAAGGAAGGTTTTTATGTATGATACAAGACCACGCGGGCGAAGCCGCTGGCGGAAAGCTAGTTTTATTATACAATGCAATATTAAATAATGTATTACGCGTGTTGTATCTTATGAAACTTTTATTTTTTAATGTCTATTCCCTAATATATTACTACTCCAACTTGCAACACTTACTGCTAATAATGACAGGTTGTGTTCATAGTTCACAAGCAATTAAACATTTTAATAAGATCAAACTCATTCAGAATGTAGCACTGAATGAGTTTATAGTAGTAAAATAGCATTAAATTTGCTTAATTGGGATCGTATTGCTTTTATGAACTGCCACGTAACCAATTGAAAGATGTTCTAAAAGGATTGACGTAATAAGATTTGTTTGAAACGAGCATTTCGTTTTCATTATAAATTCTGATTCGATGTAGAATTCTTTAATTATTCTTGCTGCCCATAAAATGCTTCATATATTTATGCAAAAAAAAAAAAGATAATATTGCTCAATACCGTAGTGTTTAGAGCGTTTGGTCTGTGATGCGATGTTAAGTTTTAGGATGAGTGACCAAAAACTAACTATCTCGAAGTCTTTCGTACTTCAGGAGACACGTTTAGAAATCGTTAAAACATATTCAAGACAACGCGTCTTTAAGTTTTCGGTAACGAATCTTGAGCGACCGATAAGCGTACTACACTGGGTTTGTACCAATAAATTTAATTGAGTAGCTCGATAACACAAGATTTAGGGCTTTCGGTCTGCGACTGCACTCTTGAACTCGACATTCGTATTATCATGGATAGCTTCGTCGTCTGTCCTACTTTAACTTATGTAATTTTAATGATATAGAGTAGAACAAAACACTATTTAACACTTCCACATAGACTGGCTTTCTAACCAGTATTCAATTTATTAACTTTTTCTCATCCGTACGTTTGATGACACATCA